TAGGTGTTCAACTAGCCAGGCACAAGTACCAACCTACTAGAGTTAGGTGTTCAACTAGCCAGGCACTGTTACCAACTACTAGGGTAGTGTTCAACTAGCCACGCACAGTTACCCAGCCTACTAGCGTTAGGGTTCAACTAGCCAGGCACAGTTACCAAACCTACTAGAGTTAGTGTGTTCAATAGCCACAGTTACCAGCTAATAGAGTTAGGTGCTAAACTAGCCAGGCACAGTACCAGCCCTACTAGAGTTAGGTGTTCAACTAGCCAGGCACAGTTTCCAAAACTAATAGAGTTGGTGTTCAAATAGCCAGGACACGTACCACCTACTAGTAGAGTTAGGTGTTCAACTAGACAGGCACAGTTACCCAACCTATAGAGTTAGGTGTTCACTAGCCACAGTTACCAGCCTACTAGAGTTGGGGTGTTCAACTAGCCCACGCAACAGTTACCAGCCTACTAGAGTTAGGTGTTCAAACTAGCGGCCACAGTTACCAGCCTTACTAGAGTAGGTGTTCAACTAGCCAGGACAAGTTACAAACCTACTAGAGTTAGGTGTCAACTACCACCAAACAGTTACCAACCTACAGAGTTAGGTTTTCAACTAGCCACAGTTACCAACCTCACTAGAGTTAGTTAGGGTTCAACTAGCAAGGCACAGTTACCAGCTACTAGAGTTAGGTGTTCAACAGCCAGGAACAGTTACCAACCTACGAGAGTTAGGTGTTCAACTAGCCAGGCCACAGTTACCAACATACTAGAGTTAGGTGTTCAACTAGCCAGGCACAGGTACCAACCTACTAGAGTAGGGTCAAACTAGCCAGGCACAGTAACCAACCTTACATAGAGTTAGGTGTTCAACTAGCCAGGCACAGTTACCAACATACTAGAGTTAGGGTTAAACAGCCAGGCACAGTTACCAAACCTACTAGACGTTAGGGTGTTCAACTAGCCAGGCACAGTTACCAAACCTACTCGAGTTAGGGTGTTCAACTACCAAAAACAGTACCAACCTAATAGAGTTAGGTGTTCAAACTAGCAGGCAAGTTACCAACCTACTAAGAGTTAGGTGTTCAAAACTACCACAAAACACATGTTTACCAGCTACTAGAGTTTTAGTGTTCAAATACCCCAAACAGTTACCAAACTACTAGAGTTAGGGGTCAACTAGCCAGGAAGTACCCAACCCGACTAGAGTTCGCGTGTTCAAATAGCCACGAACAGTTACCAAGCCTACTAGAGTTAGGGGTTCAACCTGCCAGGCACAGTTACCAGCCTACTAGAGTTAGGTGTTCAACTACCACAAACAGTTACCAACCTACTAGAGTTAGGTGTTCAACTAGCCAGGCACACAGTTACCAACCTACTAGAGTTAGGTGTTCAACTAGCCACACAGTTACCAACCTACTAGAGTTAGGTGTTCAACTAGCCAGGCACAGTTACCAGCCTACTAGAGTTAGGTGTTCAACTAGCCAGGCACAGTTACCAACCTACTAGAGTTAGGTGTTCAACTAGCCAGGCACAGTTACCAACCTACTAGAGTTAGGTGTTCAACTAGCCAGGCACAGTTACCAACCTACTAGAGTTAGGTGTTCAACTACCACACAGTTACCAGCCTACTAGAGTTAGGTGTTCAACTACCACAGTTACAAGCCCACCCTACTAGAGTAGGTGTTCAAAACTAGCCAGGCACACCCCCCCCCGTTACCAACATACTAGAGTAGGTGTTCAACTAGCCGGGCACAGTTACCAACCTAAAATAGAGTTAGGTGTTCAAACTACCACCACACAGGTACCAGCCTACTAGAGTTAGGTGTTAAAACTACCCACACAGTTACCAACCTATCGAGTTAGCGGTTCAACAGCCACACACAAGGTACCAAACCTACTAAGAGTTAGGTGTTTCAACTACCACCAACAGTTACAGCCTACTAGAGTTAGTGTTCAATAGCCAGGCACAGTTAACCAACCTACTAGAGTTAGGTGTTCAACTAGCCAGGCACAGTTACCAGCTACTAGAGTTAGGTGTTAAACTACCACGAACAGTTACCAGCCTACTAGAGTTAGGTGTTTCAACTAGCCAGGCACCAGTTACCAACCTACTAGAGTTAGCGTGGTTCGACTAGCCAGGCCACAGTTACAGGCCTACTAGAGTTCGGTGCCTTCAACTACCACGAACAGTTACCAGCCTACTAGAGTAGGTGTTCATAGCAAGGACCACAGTTACCAACTACTAGAGTTAGGTGTTCAACGAGCCAGGCAACAGAGTACCAAGCTATAGAGTTAGTGTTCAACTAGCCAGGCCAGTACCAGCCCTACTAGAGTTAGGGGTCGATAGCCCACACCACACGTCCAGCACCCCAACTCCCCCCCCCCACAACTAGAGATACCTCGGTGTTCAACTACCCACGAACAGTTACCAACCTACTAGAGTTAGGTGTTAAACTACCACGAACAGTTTAAACCCCAACCCTACAGAGTTAGGGGTTCAACTAGCAGGCCAAAGTTTACCACCACTAGAGTTAGGTGTTCAACTACCACAAACAGTTACCAAACCTACTAGAGTTAGGGGTTCAAACTACCACAAACAGTTACCAACCTACTAGAGTTAGGTGTTCAACTAGCCAGGCACAGTTACCAGCCTACTAGAGTTAGGTGTTCAACTAGCCACAGTACCAACCTACTAGAGTGGTGTTCAACCTAGGCCAGGCACAGTTACCAACCGACTAGAGTAGGTGTCAACTACCACAAACAGTACCAGCATACTAGAGTTAGGTGTTCACTAGCCAGCACAGTTACCAACCTTTAAACTAGAGTTAGGTGTTAAACTACCACAAACAGTACCAACATACTCGAGAGTTAGGTGTTCAAACTAGCCAGGGCACAGTACCAGCCTACTAGAGTTAGGGATGCAACTAGCCAACAGTTTACCAACCTACTAGAGTAGGGTTCAAATAGCCAGGCACAGTTACAACCTACTAGAGTTAGGTGTTTTCAACTTACCACAAAACAGTTACCAACCTACTAGAGTTAGGTGTGTTCAACTAGCCAGGCACAGTTACCAACCTACTAGAGTTGGTGTTCAACTACCACAATCAGTTACCAGCCTATAGAGTTAGGGTTCAACTAGCCAGGCACAGTACCAACCTACTAGAGTTAGGTGTTCAACTACACAACATTTACCATGGCCTACTAGAGTTAGGTGTTCAACTAGCCAGGCACAGTTACCAACCTACTAGAGTTAGGTGTTCAACTACCACAAACAGTTACCAACCTACTAGAGTTAGGTGTTCAACTAGCCAGGCACAGTTACCAGCCTACTAGAGTTAGGTGTTCAACTAGCCAGGCACAGTTACCAACCTACTAGAGTTAGGTGTTCAACTACCACAAACAGTTACCAGCCTACTAGAGTTAGGTGTTCGACTAGCCAGGCACAGTTACCAGCCTACTAGAGTTAGGTGTTCGACTACCACAAACAGTTACCAACCTACTAGAGTTAGGTGTTCAACTAGCCAGGCACAGTTACCAACCTACTAGAGTTAGCGACAGGCGGGTGAGCAATATCCACCGTCGTAGTACGGATGGAGCTGCAATGTGAAGCTAACTGAAGCTGGCTAGCTTTAGAAAACCCTGAGGAGATCAATGTGAAGCTAACTGAAGCTGGCTAGCTTTAGACAACCCTGAGGAGATCAATGTGAAGCTAACTGAAGCTGGCTAGCTTTAGAAAACCCTGAGGAGATCAATGTGAAGCTAACTGAAGCTGGCTAGCTTTAGAAAGCCCTGAGGAGATCAACGTGAAGCTAACTGAAGCTGGCTAGCTTTAGAAAGCCCTGAGGAGATCAACGTGAAGCTAACTGAAGCTGGCTAGCTTTAGAAAACCCTGAGTAGATCAATGTGAAGCTAACTGAAGCTGGCTAGCTTTAGAAAGCCCTGAGGAGATCAACGTGAAGCTAACTGAAGCTGGCTAGTTTTAGAAAACCCTGAGTAGATCAATGTGAAGCTAACTGAAGCTGGCTAGCTTTAGAAAGCCCTGAGGAGATCAACGTGAAGCTAACTGAAGCTGGCTAGCTTTAGAAAACCCTGAGGAGATCAATGTGAAGCTAACTGAAGCTGGCTAGCTTTAGAACACCCTGAGGAGATCAATGTGAAGCTAACTGAAGCTGGCTAGCTTTAGAAATCCCTGAGTAGATCAATGTGAAGCTAACTGAAGCTGGCTAGCTTTAGAACACCCTGAGTAGATCAATGTGAAGCTAACTGAAGCTGGCTAGCTTTAGAAAACCCTGAGGAGATCTATGTGAAGCTAACTGAAGCTGGCTAGCTTTAGAAAACCCTGAGGAGATCAATGTGAAGCTAACTGAAGCTGGCTAGCTTTAGAACACCCTGAGTAGATCAATGTGAAGCTAACTGAAGCTGGCTAGCTTTAGAAAACCCTGAGGAGATCAATGTGAAGCTAACTGAAGCTGGCTAGCTTTAGAACACCCTGAGTAGATCAATGTGAAGCTAACTGAAGCTGGCTAGCTTTAGAAAACCCTGAGGAGATCAATGTGAAGCTAACTGAAGCTGGCTAGCTTTAGAAAACCCTGAGGAGATCAATGTGAAGCTAACTGAAGCTGGCTAGCTTTAGAAAACCCTGAGGAGATCAATGTGAAGCTAACTGAAGCTGGCTAGCTTTAGAAAACCCTGAGGAGATCAATGTGAAGCTAACTGAAGCTGGCTAGCTTTAGAAAACCCTGAGGAGATCTAGCTTCAATCGTAGGACACCCCTCTGGTTGGAGGACACCGGATTTCCTACTTAATTCCTCCTGATTCCCAGAATGTTTCAACCGGGATTTCTAGGAAAACAAGGGAATTTGGTGAAAAGTTTCCAAAATGTTGAAACCCTATCCCATGTTAATCTCTTCCTTCTCTCCTCTCCTGCAGGTGGTAGATATTAAGGAAAAGCTGAAGCAGTCTAAAAAGTTTTGGTCCAACCTGCCAGATGAGATCTGTGTTAAAGACAAGATGACAGAGTCAGATGAAGAGCAGTGCTGGAACAGTCACGCCAAGGCCAGGTGAGGTGTTCAGCATTTATAGTCCCGTCTGGTTTCATTATGCAGCCCAGCTTTACGACATCTACTGCTTTATGACCGCTGACAGCTGCTCTCTGAGTGCTGGAGAACCTCTTTATGACCGCTGACAGCTGCTCTCTGAGTGCTGGAGAACCTCTTTATGACCGCTGACAGCTGCTCTCTGAGTGCTGGAAAACCTCTTTATGACCGCTGACAGCTGCTCTCTGAGTGCTGGAGAACCTCTTTATGACCGCTGACAGCTGCTCTCTGAGTGCTGGAGAACCTCTTTATGACCGCTGACAGCTGCTCTCTGAGTGCTGGAGAACCTCTTTATGACCACTGACAGCTGCTCTCTGAGTGCTGGAGAACCTCTTTATGACCACTGACAGCTGCTCTCTGAGTGCTGGAGAACCTCTTTATGACCGCTGACAGCTGCTCTCTGAGTGCTGGAGAACCTCTTTATGACCACTGACAGCTGCTCTCTGAGTGCTGGAGAACCTTCTTCTCTTTATGACCGCTGACAGCTGCTCTCTGACTGCTGGAGAACCTTCTTCTCTTTATGACCGCTGACAGCTGCTCTCTGAGTGCTGGAGAACCTTCTTCTCTTTATGACCGCTGACAGCTGCTCTCTGACTGCTGGAGAACCTTCTTCTCTTTATGACCACTGACAGCTGCTCTCTGAGTGCTGGAGAACCTCTTTATGACCGCTGACAGCTGCTCTCTGAGTGCTGGAGAACCTCTTTATGACCGCTGACAGCTGCTCTCTGAGTGCTGGAGAACCTCTTTATGACCGCTGACAGCTGCTCTCTGAGTGCTGGAGAACCTTCTTCTCTTTATGACCGCTGACAGCTGCTCTCTGACTGCTGGAGAACGCTCCACACGATACAGATAATTAAATCATTTCCTGCTAATGAAATGTGATTCAGTCTTTAAATATGTTTCTTCTGTATTCCTCAGAGATGTTTCTGAACACCTGTTGTTGTTGTTGTTGACGACACAGTTGTTATCCTCCCTCTCCCAGGTATTTTCCTGAGGTGGTAAAGGACGGCCTCACCAACCAGCTGAACAACCCAGAGGTAGAGGTGGACATCACTAGACCAGACACTCTGATTCGCCAACAGATCATGACACTCAGAGTCATGACCAACAAGCTGAAAAACGCCTACAATGGAAACGACATCTACTTTCAGGACTCCAGTAAGTCAGCTGCATTGTGTCCCAAATGACACCCGATTCTCTATACAGTGCACTACTTTAGACCAGAGCCCTTAGGGGTGTATATAGGGTGGCCCTTTGACCAGATCCCTTAGGGGTCTATACAGGGTGGCCCTTTGACCAGAGCCCTTAGGGGTCTATAGAGGGTGGCCCTTTGACCAGAGCCCTTAGGGGTCTATAGAGGGTGGCCCTTTGACCAGAGCCCTTAGGGGTCTATATATGGTGGCCCTTTGACCAGAGCCCTTAGGGGTCTATAGAGGGTGGCCCTTTGAGAAGCAGCCCTTAGGGGTCTATAGAGGGTGGCCCTTTGAGAAGCAGCCCTTAGGGGTCTATAGAGGGTGGCCCTTTGACCAGAGCCCTTAGGGGTCTATAGAGGGTGGCCCTTTGACCAGAGCCCTTAGGGGTCTATATAGGGTGGCCCTTTGACCAGAGCCCTTAGGGGTCTATATAGGGTGGCCCTTTGACCAGAGCCCTTAGGGGTCTATAGAGGGTGGCCCTTTGACCAGAGCCCTTAGGGGTCTATAGAGGGTGGCCCTTTGACCAGAGCCCTTAGGGGTCTATAGAGGGTGGCCCTTTGAGAAGCAGCCCTTAGGGGTCTATAGAGGGTGGCCCTTTGACCAGAGCCCTTAGGGGTCTATATAGGGTGGCCCTTTGAGAAGCAGCCCTTAGGGGTCTATAGAGGGTGGCCCTTTGACCAGAGCCCTTAGGGGTCTATATAGGGTGGCCCTTTGACCAGAGCCCTTAGGGGTCTATATAGGGTGGCCCTTTGACCAGAGCCCTTAGGGGTCTATAGAGGGTGGCCCTTTGACCAGAGCCCTTAGGGGTCTATATAGGGTGGCCCTTTGAGAAGCAGCCCTTAGGGGTCTATATAGGGTGGCCCTTTGACCAGAGCCCTTAGGGGTCTATATAGGGTGGCCCTTTGACCAGAGCCCTTAGGGGTCTATATAGGGTGGCCCTTTGACCAGAGCCCTTAGGGGTCTATAGAGGGTGGCCCTTTGAGAAGCAGCCCTTAGGGGTCTATAGAGGGTGGCCCTTTGACCAGAGCCCTTAGGGGTCTATATAGGGTGGCCCTTTGAGAAGCAGCCCTTAGGGGTCTATATAGGGTGGCCCTTTGACCAGAGCCCTTAGGGGTCTATAGAGGGTGGCCCTTTGACCAGAGCCCTTAGGGGTCTATATAGGGTGGCCCTTTGAGAAGCAGCCCTTAGGGGTCTATAGAGGGTGGCCCTTTGAGAAGCAGCCCTTAGGGGTCTATAGAGGGTGGCCCTTTGACCAGAGCCCTTAGGGGTCTATAGAGGGTGGCCCTTTGACCAGAGCCCTTAGGGGTCTATAGAGGGTGGCCCTTTGACCAGAGCCCTTAGGGGTCTATATAGGGTGGCCCTTTGAGAAGCAGCCCTTAGGGGTCTATATAGGGTGGCCCTTTGACCAGAGCCCTTAGGGGTCTATATAGGGTGGCCCTTTGACCAGAGCCCTTAGGGGTCTATATAGGGTGGCCCTTTGACCAGAGCCCTTAGGGGTCTATATAGGGTGGCCCTTTGACCAGAGCCCTTAGGGGTCTATAGAGGGTGGCCCTTTGAGAAGCAGCCCTTAGGGGTCTATATAGGGTGGCCCTTTGAGAAGCAGCCCTTAGGGGTCTATATAGGGTGGCCCTTTGACCAGAGCCCTTAGGGGTCTATATAGGGTGGCCCTTTGAGAAGCAGCCCTTAGGGGTCTATATAGGGTGGCCCTTTGACCAGAGCCCTTAGGGGTCTATATAGGGTGGCCCTTTGACCAGAGCCCTTAGGGGTCTATATAGGGTGGCCATTTGACCAGAGCCCTTAGGGGTCTATATAGGGTGGCCCTTTGACCAGAGCCCTTAGGGGTCTATAGAGGGTGGCCCTTTGAGAAGCAGCCCTTAGGGGTCTATATAGGGTGGCCCTTTGAGAAGCAGCCCTTAGGGGTCTATATAGGGTGGCCCTTTGACCAGAGCCCTTAGGGGTCTATAGAGGGTGGCCCTTTGACCAGAGCCCTTAGGGGTCTATATAGGGTGGCCCTTTGAGAAGCAGCCCTTAGGGGTCTATAGAGGGTGGCCCTTTGAGAAGCAGCCCTTAGGGGTCTATAGAGGGTGGCCCTTTGACCAGAGCCCTTAGGGGTCTATAGAGGGTGGCCCTTTGACCAGAGCCCTTAGGGGTCTATAGAGGGTGGCCCTTTGAGAAGCAGCCCTTAGGGGTCTATAGAGGGTGGCCCTTTGACCAGAGCCCTTAGGGGTCTATAGAGGGTGGCCCTTTGAGAAGCAGCCCTTAGGGGTCTATAGAGGGTGGCCCTTTGACCAGAGCCCTTAGGGGTCTATATAGGGTGGCCCTTTGAGAAGCAGCCCTTAGGGGTCTATATAGGGTGGCCCTTTGAGAAGCAGCCCTTAGGGGTCTATATAGGGTGGCCCTTTGACCAGAACCCTTAGGGGTCTATAGAGGGTGGCCCTTTGACCAGAGCCCTTAGGGGTCTATAGAGGGTGGCCCTTTGAGAAGCAGCCCTTAGGGGTCTATATAGGGTGGCCCTTTGAGAAGCAGCCCTTAGGGGTCTATATAGGGTGGCCCTTTGACCAGAGCCCTTAGGGGTCTATAGAGGGTGGCCCTTTGACCAGAGCCCTTAGGGGTCTATATAGGGTGGCCCTTTGAGAAGCAGCCCTTAGGGGTCTATAGAGGGTGGCCCTTTGAGAAGCAGCCCTTAGGGGTCTATAGAGGGTGGCCCTTTGACCAGAGCCCTTAGGGGTCTATAGAGGGTGGCCCTTTGACCAGAGCCCTTAGGGGTCTATATAGGGTGGCCCTTTGAGAAGCAGCCCTTAGGGGTCTATAGAGGGTGGCCCTTTGACCAGAGCCCTTAGGGGTCTATATAGGGTGGCCCTTTGACCAGAGCCCTTAGGGGTCTATATAGGGTGGCCCTTTGACCAGAGCCCTTAGGGGTCTATATAGGGTGGCCCTTTGAGAAGCAGCCCTTAGGGGTCTATAGAGGGTGGCCCTTTGAGAAGCAGCCCTTAGGGGTCTATAGAGGGTGGCCCTTTGACCAGAGCCCTTAGGGGTCTATAGAGGGTGGCCCTTTGACCAGAGCCCTTAGGGGTCTATAGAGGGTGGCCCTTTGACCAGAGCCCTTAGGGGTCTATATAGGGTGGCCCTTTGACCAGAGCCCTTAGGGGTCTATATAGGGTGGCCCTTTGAGAAGCAGCCCTTAGGGGTCTGTAGAGGGTGGCCCTTTGAGAAGCAGCCCTTAGGGGTCTATATAGGGTGGCCCTTTGACCAGAGCCCTTAGGGGTCTATAGAGGGTGGCCCTTTGACCAGAGCCCTTAGGGGTCTATATAGGGTGGCCCTTTGACCAGAGCCCTTAGGGGTCTATAGAGGGTGGCCCTTTGAGAAGCAGCCCTTAGGGGTCTATAGAGGGTGGCCCTTTGAGAAGCAGCCCTTAGGGGTCTATATAGGGTGGCCCTTTGACCAGAGCCCTTAGGGGTCTATATAGGGTGGCCCTTTGACCAGAGCCCTTAGGGGTCTATAGAGGGTGGCCCTTTGACCAGAGCCCTTAGGGGTCTATAGAGGGTGGCCCTTTGACCAGAGCCCTTAGGGGTCTATAGAGGGTGGCCCTTTGACCAGAGCCCTTAGGGGTCTATATAGGGTGGCCCTTTGACCAGAGCCCTTAGGGGTCTATATAGGGTGGCCCTTTGACCAGAGCCCTTAGGGGTCTATAGAGGGTGGCCCTTTGACAAGAGTCCTTAGGGGTCTATAGAGGGTGGCCCTTTGACCAGAGCCCTTAGGGGTCTATATAGGGTGGCCCTTTGACCAGAGCCCTTAGGGGTCTATATAGGGTGGCCCTTTGAGAAGCAGCCCTTAGGGGTCTATATAGGGTGGCCCTTTGAGAAGCAGCCCTTAGGGGTCTATAGAGGGTGGCCCTTTGACCAGAGCCCTTAGGGGTCTATAGAGGGTGGCCCTTTGACCAGAGCCCTTAGGGGTCTATAGAGGGTGGCCCTTTGAGAAGCAGCCCTGATGCTTTGTGTGTTACTGAAGTGAGATGAATAAATACATATGTTATACAATATACTGAAGTGAGATGAATAAATACATATGTTATACAGGATACTGAAGTGAGATTATTACGTACTTGAGCTATCTACAGTGACTGGCAAGTGCATTTAATTACACACTAGACTAGCAATGAAGCAAAGCAATGTATTGGACATGGTGGTGTTGGATCAAGATATGGGAACCCAACCACGGTGGTGTTGGATCAAGATATGGAAAACCCAACCACGGTGGTGTTGGATCAATATATGGAAAACCCAACCACGGTGGTGTTGGATCAAGATATGAAAAACCCAACCACGGTGGTGTTGGATCAAGATATGGAAAACCCAACCACGGTGGTGTTGGATCAAGATATGGAAAACTCAACCACGGTGGTGTTGGATCAAGATATGGAAAACCCAACCACGGTGGTGTTGGATCAATATATGGAAAACCCAACCATGGTGGTGTTGGATCAAGATATGGGAACCCAACCATGGTGGTGTTGGATCAAGATATGGGAACCCAACCACGGTGGTGTTGGATCAAGATATGGGAAACCCAACCACGGTGGTGTTGGATCAAGATATGGGAACCCAACCCATATCTTGACTTTTCCTAAATCAGTCTATATAACACCCTGCCGGTGTTAGAATCTAAATCAGTCTATATAACACACTGCCGGTGTTAGAATCTAAATCAATCTATACAACACACTGCCGGTGTTAGAATCTAAATCAGTCTATATAACACACTGCCGGTGTTAGAATCTAAATCAGTCTATATAACACACTGCCGGTGTTAGAATCTAAATCAGTCTATATAACACACTGCCGGTGTTAGAATCTAAATCAGTCTATATAACACACTGCCGGTGTTAGAATCTAAATCAGTCTATATAACACACTGCCGGTGTTAGAATCTAAATCAGTCTATATAACACACTGCCGGTGTTAGAATCTTAATATCACAAACAGAACTGGAGTTATGACCTGTTTTAGGAGGGCGTGTCCTGAACTGGAGTTATGACCCGTTTTAGGAGGGCGTGTCATTTTTTGAGTGGTTTTCCCTCGTTGCCCCTCCCGACAGTAGATCCTGCTCCGCCCCTTCTCCCGATAGTG